ATATACGGTTTTGTGAGAAATAATGCACAAATAATATATTATTTATGCATATAAAAAAAACTACTTTCAAATTATGGTTATATCGAGAAAAACGTGTACTTTTACGAATTATTTAACTGCGTTAAATGCAATTAATATGCGAATTGCAGAAAAAAATAGATGTAATTGACTCAACTGATATCAATGCATAAATTCTGCATTTATTCTGATTTATTTTCAGATATGACATCATCGTCTATTTTTTTTTACAAAGTGCCCCGAATTATTGGTTTAAATTTCGTATCATTGTTCTGTTCTTATTTGCTCAATAATAATAGTTTTTAATGTTTTAGACTCAATTTTAAATACTCGTATTTAAATGGAGAATATTTAATATTTTAAATATTTTAAATATTTTTACATATTTTAAATATTTTAAAATTTTTTAAATATGTTTAAATATTTTTGTTAAAACTCATTTTGACAAAGTGATTCATCTGCGTGCAAAAATAATTTCGGCGTTTCTGAATAATGTAGGATATATTGAATGAAGATACGGGTTTTGATAAATTTCGATAGATTTTGATAGGCAAATGGACTTCTTTTCTTTTAAGTAATTTTGTTAAACTAGGAACACAAGCGCGCACTGTGCGCACTATTTAGCTCTTTAGTTACAAAGCATTATATATTATAATTATTAGTTTAAAAAAAATGAAATTATATTATCACCATTATTTATATATTACATATTATATAAATAATGGCCATCATTATTCGTATTATTCGTATTATTCAATTTCTTAATTTCTAGAAATCAAAAAATCTTGATTTCTAAATAAGAAATCACAACTAACTAAAAAAATTTAGCAGCTTCGATATATCGATAACATCTTAATAACTCAAGTGTATCATAATATTAATAATAATTTTAAATAATTTTACAGACAGTATTTGTGTGTGTACATTCGTCGCGAAATGATGCCCGACAATGCATGGATAATAAGTTTTCTCTTGAAAAATGTGGTGTGGCATATTCGTTATGCATATACTACTAAGCGTATGCACCTATTTAACAGAAAATATTTCGCTACAGACTGAACATAAATATCCAGCTGCGCGTTTCAGTGAACATTTATTTTATAATTTCGGAAATCTCTGCAATCAAAGTACGTACGAATAATCAGTTTATGTGCAATATTATTTACTTTCGTTCAGAAGTAAATTAATTTACTATAAATAAATATACATTGCAACAAAATAAAGTAACAATGCAAAAATTTGCTATGCAAAAATAATTATTAAGAAAAAAAACATTAAGAGACTCATTTATTAAATATTTAAAAGTTATTAATATAAATAATTGTAATATGCTATATTCCCCATTCTCTTTCTAGAAGATCATGGATATTAAAAATATCGCTGGTCCTTTTTGTTCTGTATTGCACATGGCGTTTGGTGCTGTGCTGTTTATTTATATGGCAAAACGTATTTTTATACCACCATTCGATTCTCTCGATTCTATGGTAACTCATTCTAAATACAGTGTTGTGAATCTAAAGGGTTCAATTGCAGATATCGCGTTTAAGGTAAATAATAATTATAATTATTGATATATAATTATAATAATTATAATAATTACAATATTTATAATTCATTAATAAGTAATTAGATTTAAAATTTCCTGCTTCGAATATATTCGTTCTAATTTATAGGTAAGTCCTCAAGAAACTTTCGTACGAGTTAAAAGGGCAAAACGCAATATCGCTGTATCAACAGTCGAGGAAATGTTTAAAATGGCGTGTTCCACAAAAGGAAAACGTTACGTTCTACTCCAAGGTGAAGATGAGTCTAAAGTAAGAGGAAACATTATATGCCGCCTTACTCTGGTTGGAAGGCCCTACTTGCAAATGTGGATAGCTGCCGGCATCGCAAAGAATTTCAAATATAAAAGAGCTATTGATCTTGGGTAACAAAAATGTCGACAGGAATTATAATATAATCATGATAATTGATTACATATGAATAAATGATTTTCATGAATAGAATACTCAAACTGATGGAAGTTGGACTTTTGGATGCGTTGATAGAACGTCGGCTGCCACACACAGTGCAAAACGATATTAATGTCAATAAAACGGAGGCGATCAGAATGGATCAAGTTTCTTTAGTAATTGAAGTGATGTGCTGTGGAATAATAATAGCTTTCATTATTCTCGTAATCGAAAAAATCGTGTATGCTTATAAACTCAAGCAGTCTTGACAACATTTTTACGCGTTGCTTGAGATCGAGGATCGATTTATGGCATTGAACAGGTGCGGCTGCTCAATCTATGAGCTTTCAATCTATGAGCAATTACAATCAGACCTGAATAACGTTTGCACTTAAGAAGGACTTACGCTACAGAAAAACCATTGACTCAGCTTA